AAGAAGAAGAAGAGAGAGAGAGAGAGTGAGAGAGAGTGAGAGAGAGTGAGAGAGAGTGAGAGAGAGTGAGAGAGAGAGAGAGAGAGAGAGAGCGCACAGGAGGCAACTCCTGTGTCCACAGCCCTGGCGAAGGAAGAAAAAGAGAGAACGAGCTGGTTGCCTCCTGCCCCCCTAGCCCTGGCGAAAGAAAGAGAGAACGAGCGACCATGCGTCAGGCTCATCCAGTAAAACTGACAGCAGTAACTACAGAGAGAATAACACCGATAGCAGTGCACGTGCAAGTCACGCCTTCGAAGGCGCGCGGTGCTTCACTGGCCTCTGGTGCACATGAAAGCGATGTGAAAGCGCATCCCTCTCTCTCTCTCTGTCTCTCTCCTCCTAATCCCTCCTCGCTTCTTTTCTGGTTTGACCCACTCGTCCACGTTTCAGGGCCTTTGTGGGTGTAGTTTTCTTCGCACCATGTTGTCGACCTGTCTGCCCTTCACCCCTTTCTAGTATAGGGTTTAGAGGGGTGTATCGTAAGGGTTCTGTCACCGATACACTTCTTGACGTTCCAGTGTTTGGGCTTTCCCGCACCCATCCGCACCCCATCCTGCGCCCCGTCGGGTTAAGTGTCATAGCTTGATGTTGCTGTGAAGATCCCTTGTAGCTTGAAGCCCTGAATCCCAAAAATGCAGGTGTGCGAGTCGTTTCGGTGCCCCTATCCGCTGCGATGTTTCTCTTGGTGATCCAGTCGTCCGTCCGCGCGAATCCGCCGCTGCTGTGTTCGCGAGTCCTGTGTAAATCGGTATTGGGTTCTTATGCAGAACAGGAGCACGCGGACTGCCAGCTTGTGCACACAGAGGCTTTATCACATTGGTATGGGAAGAGACGACCCATAGCCAACACACAGACCTTACAGCCCATGCAGAACAGAAAACCTTGAGCACACCGGATGTGAAGCACACTTCTGCTGCTCCAGGCCTCAACTTGAGCAGAAATGGGCAGATGGCAGCGCACACAGACATTTCAAGCTCATGTCATCTCATGTCAAATCAGCGTGGACCTACTAGGCACCCACTGCAAGCGCTCACAAATAGCCGCATGTGCACACGCAACATCAACTGACTATGCAACTGCCTGCTCCGGAATCCACTCCGATGCCCCGCGTCGCGAAAGCTTTCAGACTTTCCAGATCCTGCATGACCTTGAATCTGGAATAACTCCACGACAAACGAAAGAGCAGAGGAGACTAGGACCTGGCAGACGTCGTCTTGGCAGTCCGACAGAGAGAAGGTTGTGGATTCGGCTAACAGATGGAAGATCCTCTTTCAATCTCTTGTGGTCACGTCACTTGATGCGTTCATATACCAGCCAAGGCACCGTCTGGGCGTGGGGCAAGCTAAAGCACAAAGACATGGACTGCTTGAATGGCATGGTGCAGGCCATCCCTCTGAAAGTGCACGACTTCACGACGAGAGCCCCATGGCAATGTCAAAACTCAACCTTTTCATTTGTACGGCCTTTCCAATGCTTTTGGGTTGCTGGGGCCGTACTGTTTGCAGTGCATGTGAGCTCTACCCCGTTCGCAGTGAGAAGACGTGCCGATTGGCGAATTAAATGGGTTCCAGGTCGTCTAGACAACACCAGCACTGGTACCTGGCATGCAGCCTCAGGACGTGTCAAACGTGCTCTACGGATTTGGCCTCCTTCGCCATAGACCGGTTCGGGTTGCGCTGATGCTCATTGACACTCTGCCAACGAGGATGCCGGATTGTAGCAGTCAAACCTTGGCCAACACTGCGTACGCTTTGGCCTTGTTAAATTTCAAGAACGAAAGCTTCTGGCGAGCGCTGGCAGAACATGCGCCGGAGCGGGTCCATCTTTTCAAAGCACAAGAGTTGGCGATTATTCTTTATTCATGTGGGCTGATTCGCGCTCGACATGATGCGCTGTTACGGGCTTCATGTGAGAACGCACGACTACGGCTGCATGAGTTCAGTCCTCAAAATGTCTCGAACATGGTCTATGCACTTGGCCTGCTTCGATTTGTGGATGCATCATTTCTGGAGGCAGCATGCAATGTTGCATCAGAGAGCTTCGAGATGTTCACGGCACAGGGTGTATCCAATATGACATACTCGTTGCTCGCTAACGTTGGCATGATTTTCGTTTAGATGCCGACATGATAAAGAGAATAGGCTCCAAGATGGTGCCGACAGGCTTGGTCTCCTCGCGTTTACCATGGATGCCTTTCTGAAGCGTCTGTGCCTCGACTTGCCAAAGCGAGCCTGGGAGTGCCTCGCCCGACATCTGAGGATGCCATAACTTGTTCTGCGATTTCTGTGACTCTGTGATACTCAGTGGAGACTCCCGAGAGGCTCTCTCCACAGCATCTGGGAAACATCGCCTTCGCCCTCAACCGACTCTGCAGGGGGCGATCTGTTGTACTGCGTTCTCGCGTACCATTTGCGAGTACTGAGATTAGGAAAATGTGGTGAGGGATTCAGTCTTTGTTCCTTGCCTCCTGCCACACATTGCCACACGCTTTGATCAGCGTTACCCTTCGGTATCCGTGTATCATGTTTCAGTTTTGTGTGAGTTGGGGCGTCTGCAATCGTCTATTGCGAACACCGGGCTGGAATATGTTGGAGCAGGGAATTTGTTGCTCTGGGTTGATTTCGGCTGTTGGGCCTTCCTGGATTCTACCCAGGTGTTTTCTTGCAGCGACTGTGTGGCATTGTCATGAGTCATGAGGTTCAGAATACATGAATAGAGTATGAGCTACTGCAGGGTTCTGGAGCAGATCGCAGCTGCCGTTGGCCCTCGATTTTGCCTTCCACTCAAACCCAAAACAGGAGCAAATGGTTCGCAACAGGTATTTGTCAGTACTTGTATCTGCTTGACACATCTTGACACCAAACACGGCTCTCGCAGCGCACTTTATATAGCATGGCCGCCCCAGCTCAGCAAAGAGGAGATGGATATCAGGACTCGCGCAGCAACGAGCAGCTTCTGTTGGACAGGCTGCGACTACGGAATCCACGCGCCTGGATGGCAGTAACAAATAGCCAGGGCACATTGATGCCGCGATCCTTGCAGAAGCTTTGCAAGAACCAGGCAGTCCAACTTGGGAGTCAGGATGCAGAGCAGCTTCTACAGGGTCTTCTGGATGCCGAGCCGCAGCAGAGAGACAACCCAGATGGTACATCAAAGCCATGGTCACCGACAGACTCCGAGTCTCTGAAAACACAGTTTGCACAACTCTGCCGGCAGTTTGCTGCCGGGAAACATTGCTTGACGTATGAAGAATGGCTCAACTGGGATGAATTAGATGGTTGCAGGGGCGCAGGCGGGAGCATAAGCACAGAAGGTGCTCGAAGCCTATGGCTCAGATTAGTCGGTGCCGGCAATTTAGCCAATGAGGCAGATTTCGTGCGGCTGGCTCAGGTGATGCGACAGGAGTGTGGCCTTGCAACAACGATTCAGTCCTTTCTCCGCGGGAGTGTAGGTCGGCGCACAGCCCGGCATCACGCAGAGGCTTGCCACTACCAGAGCACGTGCTTGGAGGCTGTGAAACTGGCGCCCTATAATCCGACGCCGGAGTGTGCCATAAAGCAGGTGTTGGATACCCTCGAAGTGCAGAGTGGAGACACGCTCTTTGATCTAGGATGTGGAGATGGGAGAATGCTCTTAGCAGCAGCCAGGCGAGGAGCTCGAGCAGTGGGAGTCGAATATGATACCCGCTTCGCAGAAAAGGCCTCGGAAGCGATCCGGGAAGCGAAGCTCGAGAGCTTGGCGGAGGTGATCTGCGGCGACGCGCTGAAGGCGAACCTGTCAGAGGCGACGAAGATCTTCGTATACCTGGTTCCTGACGGACTGCGTAGGATGAGTGCTGCGTTGTGGGATGCGCATTGCCAGCGGGGTGTTCCGATCGCCAGCTACCTCTTCCAATTGCCAGGCTGGAGTCCACAAATGGTGCTTACAGCTGAAACAAGAGCTGCAGAATGCAAGCTTTGGATTTACAAAAGCGACTCTGCTGCAGTCGCTCCCATGCTTGGGAGCGAAAGTGAGCGGCTTGCGATGCAAAATTGGGTGTTTTTGCAGATTGAGCTTTCCTGCAAATCAAACAGTGAGCTGTAGAGTAGCTGTTGCCAGTTCAGTTCAAGTGATATCAGGGCTGAGTTGGAAGGCAGCAGGTGCTGTGGTAGCGGTATTCTTGATACTGTTGGAGCCAAGTTCTCGCAGGCTTCTTCGTTGTATTATGAAATGGAGGTGTCTGTTTGAATGGGAATGTTTTTGAAGGAGTGTCCCAGAAGCATGCTGTGTTGCCAGATGCGTTTTGTTCAAGAATAGGAAGGGCCCACGTTGACTGCACTCCTTGGCCTCTTCTGCACAGCTTCTGAGCTGCAAGCAAGTCGAGGGAGCGGCGGCTGATGCAAATTTCTGTTTCTCATTGCTGCGCATGATCGTCGCCAAGCACAGGCAACGGCAAAGTCTTTTGCTTGTCGAGAGCCGGGCGCATGGCGAAAGTTATGGCGCATGTTCGTTTGAAGGAAATTAGATGCAGCTTCCAGAAATAGCATGTGGCTCTGCGAGCCGTTTAAAACCCATAGTTTGATAAGTCTGAGGCCAACTGGGCCTGCCTCGTGTGGACATGGGCTGCAATACCAGCCTGCGCCTTGCAAACTCCCGCCGCCATTTGCCTTCGCATTTCCTTGGACTGAGGCAGCACAGCTGCTAGTTCGTCAGCTGCGACCTTATGCTAGTCGTTGTGGCTCCCATTGACAAGGCCTTGCAGCGAAGCAAAGCATGAGCTGCCCGAATTTATCAGGCCAGTACAAAAGATGGGAAAACCACTGGCAATGCACAAGATAAGCAGCAGGCGCGGGGCACCTCATCCTCAAATATCCTCAAATTATGTACGTTCAGAGACGTGCGTTCGTGTTGCTTGAAGGCAAAGGAAGAAAACAAACAGTATCAGGCTGGTGGGAGGTCTTTTTACGACATTCGCTTCCTTTCCTCAGTGAATGCCACTGCAGGCGACCATGTCCTTCTTGTCGCAAGTGCCGCTCTTCATGAGACTGCCAAAGGACAGGGATGCCTCAAGAACAAGTCTCTCCTGCACCTCAGTGTGTGAACTCGAGGACCAGCATCCTATCTTGGCAGCTGCCTGTGTAAACCAGCCGTCCACTGCTTAATTTCTGGCAAACAACATGTGTGTCATGTGTTGACGTTCCGTTTCCAGCGCTTGGCAATGGTTGCTCGGCTTCATCTATCAGGTTCAAGGCAGGTCAAACTATCATTACACAGGCTGGGTCGATGCACCTTGAATTGAGAGGTGATTTGCTCGATCCTGACTCGATTGAATTTGCAGGGTGAAGTGGGCAGAGAGTTCTTCATCATCCAGTCTGGAGAGGCTGAGGCACGCATAACTTTGCACCACGACTGACGCTGTGCAGCTGCAATCGGTCCCAGGTGCTGGTTGGTGAACCGGGTAGTCAGAAGAAGGCGAGGCTACGCAGCACTGACAAAAACTCATGCAACCCCCAATCCAAGGTCGCCGCGCTGAAGCAGGGCGACTATTTCGGAGAAAACGCCTTGCTTCGGAACGAGCCCCGCTCTGCTACGATCAAGGCCAACGAACTGCAGAGCTCAGAGAATGCACACCGACCAGCGAGGGGCTAGACTTCTGAAGCAGCAGCATAACAAGTATCATGTCTCCAGGCGGTGACAGAAATCAGGACTCTAAAGATTACTCAGGAGAAGTTCCAGGCTCCACCGCCAGTGCTTTGGATGTTCCTGGCCTGAATTCGCGCTGCACTTGCATGAGTCGCTGGTAGCAGGACCTCGGTCTGAACGAAAAGATCCAGTTTGCCAACAGAAAAGCAGTGGGTGCTGGAGGCAAACGGCAGCTGGTGGCCTGGAGCTCATCAAGTTTTGCAGACAGGAATGAACAAAGATGCAAGTTGCACCTAAGGTACAGGCGCCCACAGAAAAGAACACGGATGAGCGGCAGCTTATGGAGAAAGCGCAAGCAGCTTATGTTGGCTAGTGTGAACGAAGTCCCTGCACCACAGCCGGTTACTCTGAGGCTCAAGAAGAACGAGAACATCCAGACAATGGTGAAACTAGACGAGTGCTCGGCTCAGCCCACAAGAAGCGACCTTGCCTGCTGGGTGAGGGAATGGCAGTGGGCAATCTCGCCATGCTGTGCAGGATCCGGGTAAAGCAGATCATTGACATTGCCTGGAAGGAGCAACGAGCTCAAATGAGCTTCCTTTTCACAAGGCTGAGTGGTGTTGCAGCTTATCCCTGGATGCTGCGACCAAGGAATGTGCCTAGCGGGAAGGAAATTATCTCCGAAGGCGTCCTCATGTTGTCAGCAAGCTTGAGTAGTTGCGGTAGCTGTTCCTAACAATCCAGAGTCATCGCGGCAGAATTGAGGTGCTTGGTCGTTTAAGGCAGCTCCTTGAAAGACAGAGTTGAGCACGGATTTGCACGGGGACGAGAGGTTCCATGTTTGCATGCGCGGCAACATATATTAAGGCTTACGACCCCTTAGCATCAAAGAATGTCGATTCTGACTGAGTGGCTAGTCAGGTGATTTGATTGCCGATTACTTCTACGCAGTTGGCCCAGTGTGAATCGACAGCTCCTGTCAGACATAGTAGCAGGGGTCGCTGGACAACCGGCTCTGCACTGAGATCTGCCAGACGGGGACATTTGAGATTTTTGTTGCGGACACCAACAAGGGTGGTGGAGGGTGCCGGCCTCAGGTATCTCAAGAGGTTTGAATCGAGTTTGAAGGCGGTCCTCTTGCTCGATTTTTGGATCGGGCTCTGTGTCTTTCCCTCCAGGAAGCGCAAGCTGGTGCAAACTGTGACAGCCGGTGGAAGCTTTGGGGTCACTCGGCAGCACTTCACATGTCAGTGAAATCAATCTTTCATGTCCAGTCCACACAGTCAGAGAGTGTGTGTGCGTGTGTGTGTGTCTGTGTTTTTTTGTGTGTATGTGCGTGTGTGTGTATGTGTGTGTGTGTTTGTTTGTGTTTTTTTTGTAGGAGCTAGCGCTGCTCTACCTGGTGCCACGGGCAGCCACGGTCATTGCGAAGGCTTGGCCTTTGATGCGAACTTGCTTTTGCGACGCCGCGACAAATTGTGGCTGTCAGGAAGACTCATCAGTTTGGGTCATCGATCGCAAGAACTTCAAAGACATTCTGATGAAGGTCTTGCCGTGTGAGATTTGCAGGACATATAGATGCATCGAGTCTCCCAACCATTGGGCAAGGCTTTTAACTCTCACTCCTTTCTTCGTTGTTTCAGCCCTTTTACACGAATCGTGCTTGTTTGCTGTCACTGCTCGGGTTCTCTCGCTCTGCTTCTACTCGGCTCTGCTGTACCGTGATAATATACCCAGGCCCATGCCATACCATCAACATCGACCTCATGCAGATAAGGCATGTACAAGTATATAGCACCCCAGGCCGAGTGGTGTATCTTGAGCAGCATGGACAGAGTTTCAACTTTTCAATTCTTCACCCCTTGGGCTTGTCGAGGTCTCTGACGAGAAGATTCAGGAGTACGTGAAATACTTGAGCAGGGAGCGCGTCTCAGCAATTGAGTAATCCAACCTCGACGTAAACCAGAGACATACTTGAGCTCGCGAAGGTTGAAATTTTGAGCAGTTTGCTCGCTGCAGAGAAGCAGCAAGTGGCACGGAGCCCAGTTGATGCAGTCACTACAGAACACTACAGACAAATCTGGCTCGGGGCGGTTGGGAGGGGGGGTTGGGGCGGGGGCTGAACATTACTATAGCTGTCCTTAAGACATCACGCTCTTGATCACACTGTTGGTGCAAGTCGCTGTGCATGCACAGCGGGATTGCTGGAAGGCCAAAGCGCTCATGGAGGTTCATTTTGCGAAGAACGAGGCTGCCATCCATTGTGGCGGATCTCGGAACATGTTGGAAAATCTCATCGATGTCTTGCTCGGCCTTTCCCGTGCGGAAGGTGATCATTCAACAAGGTGATCCAGGCACAACTTTTTACATTCTCTTTGAAGGAGAGGTGCGCACCTTGGCATTTGGAAGATGTCATCTGGTGTCATGAGTTCCTTCGTGCTTGCTGCAATTAGGTTGCAGTCTCGATAGATGGCGACGAAAAGGTTCGGCTCCAGGCCTGCCATCTTCGCAGCCAGTGCTCCAGCCAGTCTGAGCGAAGCTGTTGTCGCATGCGACATGCGAAGGCTAGCGAAGACAGGGGAACAGCTCAATATTTTGGCCACGTGCTCGGTTCGGGGTTAAACTGCCGGTGATCCTGAGACTTGTCGCTGGGGACTCTTTGTCCAGGACCTGCGTGTAGACCTTATTAACAGTTTGGAGTGTGCTAGGCCAATCGAGAGTCCGTGTCATAGCTTGTGTTTTTTGCTTCCCTGCGCTCGGAGCTCAGCTCGTGCTTCGGTGAACTAGCGCAACCGAACATGCAGCGTGAAGTTCACTGCCACGGCATCGGATTTTCAGCAGCGACGTTCTCCGGGCACTCTTGTTTGGCTTCTGGGCCGGTCATCGTTCATGATGCATGATGTGTTAAACCGTGATTAGATGTCCATGTGTGTCTCAAAGGCGAGCGTGCCCTGTTGCACAACGAGCCGCGGGCGGCGACGGTGAGGGTAGTGTCCAAGGATGCCAAGGCAAAGGAAGAGAAAGGGGATGTTGAGAAGTGTGTGCAAGCCACATGCCTCACACACCATTCAGGCACTGGCGCTGGACAAGGAAGCCTTTGACCTGCTGCTGGGACCCTTGGAGGAGTCTCAACTTGCCTGCGTTGGATGCTCAGACCAAGAAGCGATGGGCAGGAAATCCTGGCTCGCAAAGACCAGGGAAATCAACCATCAAAGGCTCGCAAATTTTCAATGCTTGTTGCGGTGCTCGGCCCGCTAGGCTTGTTTCTGGAACTCTGGCCACGCAGGGTGCTGTCGCTCCTCCTGCAGGAGGAGCAGGTGGTGGCCGGGATCCAAACAGGCTCGGAGACTTGCAATAGTTGGGTGCCAATCCAGAAAAGATGGTGGATATGGTGGGGGGTGCGGAACCAGGGTGACGTCTGCTTGTGCGGATATCCCAACAAGCGACCAAGCCAAAGCACACCCCGAGAATTTCCGATGCATTTTCGCGATTTCGTTAAGATGCAGTAGGGTATTCGTAACGGGATTGAGTCCATATTTGTAAGTCGCCGACCCACTTGAGGCCAGAGAAGCTCGCGACGAGCGGTCGCCTCGACAGGGTGGGTGAACTGCGGCACCGCGTCGTTGCGACGTCGTTTCGTTGTTTCGACGTCGTTTCGACGCGTCATCTCACTGCGAGGGGAATCAAAGGCTTCCCCCGCCGCTTCGGGGGTTCGGCGGATTGGGGTGAATGGGTGACCCATTCACCCACTCTGCTGGGACTCTGCCGGTAGTGGGTAGTGGTGCCAGACAGAAAGCAGAAGTTTCAAGCCTTATCGAGTGGGCAGAAAGCCGAGCCAAAAGTGTGGAGGCCAAAGATCCTGATGACTGATCTCCAGAAGATTGGCCTCCTCGGAGCCGGCGGCTTCGGTGCCGTGCCTTCCTTGGAGAAGCGGATGCCCAGAATCCAAATCTTGGACTGTCTGTGCTGTGCCCTTTTCGAGGTTGAGCTCTGGGAGCACAAGTCGAGTGGAGAGACCTATGCCATGAAATGCAAGCACCCTGGGACTCGGACACTGCTTCAGATGCAATCTCATGATGAAGCGGCCTAGCAGCCACCTGCCGGACCATGCCCCAGGCATCAGCAAGGGTTTCATCGTGAAGACGGGAATGCAGGACACACTTCCGCTGCTCACATTGTTCGGTCATTTGTTCATTTTTGTTCGTTGTGATGGGGTTGGAGTCTTCACGACTCATGCCCGCCAGCTCGGGTACATCCCGAGTTGCCGATACCGGCCATAGCTGATCTCAGACTGGGATGACGACACTCACTGCAGAGGTCATAGACTGTGAACAGGTTTCAGGACATGTAGTCGGGAGAGATTGGAGGTCTATGTTTCGTGTCTGCAAGGGTTGGACAGGTAGACATGACTGGCATCGAGTTTCCTAGAGCCGGAAAGCATCTTGCCACCGAAGGACAGTGTGATCACTGAGAAGAACATCCTCTTCATGACGAACTCAGACTTCATCATTCGTCTGTACGAGACGTGCGGCACTGAGCTATGGAGCTTGGCACAGGAAGCTCAGGTTCTTGGTGGTAGTACTTTCAGAGAAAGGCATCGAGATTGGAAGTGCCAGGTATAACTCCAAGCAGTCGATCTATTTCCTGATGGAGCCGGGAGCTCGAGAAGCGGACAGTACCGACATGCACTGCACCGAACTTGTCACTGAAATGACCTGCTTGTTCCTGGGACCGTCCGGTGCAGAGCATGCCGATGCTGTGGTACCACAGGCCTGCTTTGGGCGGAGAATTGTACTCGATGTACCAGAGGAAGGCCCGTTCTCTAGCCGGCTCTTTTTGCCCGTCGGCAGTTGCGTGATCAGTACGGTTTTACCGTGGGCAGGGCTTCTACGGAAGCGAGAAGCATGCGAGATACTACTCTGCCGGTGTGGCCTGTTTCTTACACTCGCTTGACTCAAGTGCTGTTCGGTACTGAAGGCATATTGCCTTGTGATTACTCCGAGGTATGTGCCTTCGAACATCTGCACGAAAGACACATTATCTACAGGCGGCCATGCGGTCCACACTGCCCAATGCTCTTGCAGAATGATTTTTTATTTGAACATCTAAAGTCTTTTCATTCCTCTGTCAGGGATCTGAAACCGGAGAACCTGCTCCTCAATGAGAAGGGTCATCTTAAGGTGACGCTCTCAGTGCTGCAATGGGTAGGGCCAGTCTCCTTGCCTGACAAGGTCACAGACATGGGCTTGGCGAAGTTTGTCATCGGCAAGGCTTGTGATACTCTCTTGGAAAGTTTTGTTGCAACAGCATTCTGTGTATCGTCAGACCTACACGACCTGTGGCACTCCGGACTATTTCGCCCCAGAAGTGATTGCGTCGTGCAGGGCTAAGATGCCTCAAACAGTGGAGCTTGCATCTGGCGTTGGTATCAGCAAGCCTTCCCCGATATCCGATAGCTCCTCTGTGGGATCACCTGGTATTAGGTGTTAGGCCCTGTTAGGACACGGAGCCGAAGACCGGAGCTATCCTGACAAAGACCCACACCCTCGAACGCGTTCGAATCAGCCCTGCCGGGGATTCAGACCTCAGGACTGGACACACCCATGCCGTGGACTGGTGGATGCTCGGGGTCCTCGTCTTCGAGTTCATGCACGCTACTCAGTACTTGGCTCTGACTTTCGTGGTGAGTTGGGTTGATGCTCGGATGCAGGACTGGATCGGCTCCTTTCGAAGCGTACTGCCCTCGCAATCACGCGTTGCAGATATGGTGGCACTCTGTAGTGTAAGGCCATACCCTATGCAGATCTATGCGAAAGTTCTGCGCCACTCTAAGAGTCTGGGAATTTCAAGGACCTGAAATCTTGCGAATGTTTCTGCGACCAAGGAAGGGCATCAACTCTGTGAAGTTCCCTCCGCAGCTATCGCCCCAATGTGTGGATCTCATAAAGGCTGGAACTTGGATCCGTCCGCGGTTCGCAGCGTCGATTTGCGTGGGAACCAGCTGAGCTTGGAGGCAATCTGCCAAAAGGAGCCAGCAGACCGATTACCGATGCTTCCTGGTGGTGCCAAAAACCTGAAGGTCGGACGAGTCTCACAGGTCGTGCTGTGCTACTGCGCCCCGGCAGGCCCATGCCTGGTACAAAGGCTTCAACTGGGTTTGGGATCCTAGCGGATCGCAATGTGAGCAGTGCCGCTGGAGTCCAAAAGGTTTGCTTGCAGTCTCCAATCTCGTCGACCAAGGACAAGTTTACGGAGTTCACTCTGGATCCCCCCTTTGCACCGAAGGTGAGGGGCAAGAAGGCCAGCATCCTGGTTGCTGTCGATTCTTATGGCCGACATGCAGTTGGTGCCGAGTTTTTGTTGCAAGGACTTGGCAAACTTCAGCGTCCATCCTGATGAGATGCCAGCTGCTCGTGAAGACATCGCAAGGGCCATTTCGTGATGCCAGCTTTGCCTTGTGGGAGCTTTGAAAGAGCCCGAGCCCAGGCCGCGTTTCATCGAGTACGTGGACGATGGAAGCGGGTGGGACAAGGCATGGAGCAAGGGTCGCAAGGATGGCACGGTGCGCGCACTCGGTGGGATCCAGGACTTTGCAACGTGCTGAGCAGCCCTGTGGCTTCGGCACCGACCTGAGACTGACATCGTGTCTTTTCTGGTACTCTAGTGCACAAATCTCTGTGCATGTGTTCCAGTTCTTGAGACAGCGGGGTTTTAGAGTTAAGGGGTTTTGCGTGGACTAGCTTGGGTCGATACTGCTTTGGGCTTTGTGGTTGTGGTGATTCTCGGGAAATGTGATGGCTCTGTCCAAAGAAAATTCCGTCCTTTAACAGCATAGCCACGTTGAAATGGTCTTATGCAAATAAGACTTGCTTGTCTGGCCAGCACCCACTCTCTGCCGGCCGGCATGTTCGGACAGACTTGTGCGAGATTTATGCCAGCCAATGCACTGAGTCTTTCATGATGGTGGTCAGCTAGCCACCGTCGAAGCACTCGGTACCTTCTGGCTGATGCGCGGCCTGGGCATCTCACGCTGCCAGTGCAACAGCAAATTTGGAACTCTACAATGCTTCTGGCTTGCGTGTGGACCCTTGCGGTCCTCTCACGTGAACTGGCATATTGTCTTGTGTAATCGTTGTTATCTTTACACCATCGCCTAAGTCCGACAGGACTTGCTTTTGTGCGGAACGTCTGGGGATCAGCTTTTGTGGGGGTCGTGTTTCGGTTTTCGTTCAATCGCATTTGGGGCTGTGCCACAACAACCAAGCCGCCGGTCGTACTGAAAAATTCGGGTCTGGGTCCTGAGTTTCCTGCTGTAGGAATTCAAGAATGACAGCGCGCAACTCCAACAAGGAGATGCGCAAGAAGGCTTGCAAAGGCAACACACAGTGGCTTAAGGAAAGGCTCGCCGAAAGCAAGACCACTGCGGAATCACAGCAGAAGTGGAAGCGGCTCAGCCGAGTCAGATCCGAGCGTATCCCACGCCCGGTCTCACTACAGGTCACAGGGCTAGCCAATGAGCCAGACGCAGCAGGCGCAAGTTTTCGCAGAATACTTGCGAGACTCAAACTGGGCCTCGCCCCAAACGCCATACACATGCCCCACCACACCAATACATCCACAGGCAAACATCAACATGGACCCATATCCACAGGAGAGCTCACAGCAGCGCTGAAGTAATTGGCTGTGACCAAAGCCCCAGGCCCAGACGCGCTGCCGGCAGAAATGTGGCAATGGCTGACGACCACAACCTTCAAGCACTCCGCAGAGTGCTAAACCAGACAAGCCCTTCTCACAGCCACGATTCCCGATGAGGGGTACCAACGGGAACGGCCTCCCCACAGACTCCCTTCAGTTACAAACCATCTCAGTTCTCAACACAGCAACCAAACCTTTAGCCAAAGTCATTCACACCAGACTCTAAGCCAATCCAATCGACAATCGGTTGCGCCCGTCACAGTACGGGTTCCGTGCTTTGCGTTCAAGATCCCAACCGATGCATAAATTAATAGACCGGCCACTCGCTGTACACCATGCTCCTTGATGGGAGAAAGCAGTTAACAAGATACATCCAGACGCACTTCTCACAGCACTCACCGGGTTTGGGGTCCCTCCCCGCCTCACAGCACTGATCAACAACTACACCTCACCACAGTTTGTAGTCTTTGCAGCGGGGCACACCTCCTCCAGAGCGCAAGCACAAGCAGGCATTCGGCAGGGATGCCTACATTCAACCTACCTCTTCCTCAGACTAGGACTAGGAACTCACAGCAGATGGGCAATTGTTGCCGTGGCTTTCCAGCCAGAACCAGCCATGCTTACGCGGATGGCGCTGCCTTGCTTGCCGGCACGGCTTTCAGGCGGTCGCCGCTCGCAGCAATCTGCACCTCAACTTGAAGAAGTCTATTCTCCTTCGTTCACCTCACAGAACAAACACCACATTCCAACACGGCACCCCACTCACCATCGAAACCCATGCCAAGTACCTGAAAGTCGCCCTCAGCAACGATGGCTCCACACACAAAGACATCACCACCCGGCTAGCCACAGCCGAAAACACATTCATCGGCCCCACTAGTTTTCACGCAACACGGGCTTCACATCGAGCTGGAAACTGTATTTATAACACAGTCTTTATTTCACTGCTGACGTATGGATTAGAGTCCATTGTTCTTAGCATCAACGACTACAATCGCCCCGAAGCTTTCCACTCACTGATCCTGAGGAAGGTTCTACACTTCGAGAGCACGTACTACACCGAAGTCCCTGCACCCACGGGCCGGACTTACACGAACCAGGAAGTCCGCTTCCTCACAGAGCAGCCCCCACTCACACGCCAACCCACAAAGCACAGCTGAAGTTTTTCGGGCACATTCTTCGATCCTATCCGAGCTATATAGAAAGGAGCTGTTGTTTTAGTGCTGGCAGCAGCTTTCAGTTCAGAGGTGGTACGATAGGTGCTGCTTTCAGGATGGATAGACGAAGCATCAACTAGACAGAACGATGTACCAGGTTGCGGTTGACATGGCACTGGCTTTTAAAGTCCACGACTCCGCCTCCCTCTCACACCCATGTCTTCCCCTACCCCTATCTACAATCTACAGACTCACAGAGTAGCTGTAGACCACCACTTTTGGAGCCGTTTAATGAGGCTGCCAAGGTGCAAAACCCTGCTCACAGCTAGCTCCGCTCAGGTTTACTCACAGACTAGAGAAATGTGCTTGAGGTCGTGCTGCATGAGAGTTGCACAGGGCCGCCCAAAAAAATAATTTGTACTGGCTACTGGGAAACATTAGTTAGCAGTACGAGTAGTATTCAGAGTCATGGCGAGTGGGAGTGGGAGTAAGAACAGAAGTTCGGCTTTAGCCCACTGTCAGACCCACCTCGCTGTGATTCCTTCTAGTCAGCTTCGGGGTATGGGCGGGTGAGGTGGAGGGTGGTGTGTACGGGCTACTTATGCAAGGATATTCAGATATGATATGCAACTTCGATAACGTGCTCCTTGCGTTACTGCATATTGTCATGGTCCAGCGGTCCCTGAGGTCTGCAGCCAAAACTTTTAGAGGCTGTTAGCAATGACCGGCCTCGATTGCTGGGGCACTCGGGCTAGTGAAGAAGTTTCCCTAAGATCAAAAACTCGGAACCTCGTAGGAACTCCAATGGACGCAAGGACATGTGGCTGTCGATAGAGCATGTCCATTGCCAAGCGATTGCCACTGAAACGAAAGACGTCGCGGTGTGCTCTGACACCCCCTAGCGGGAAGTCCAAGAAGATGGTTTCAGGGACAGTATTTAGTGACCCACATCCTGTTGCTCAGAGTTGACACGTTCATCTCCGAACCTGCCGAATCCTCCAGCCCGGTCGCCGTTTTTGAGCAGTCGCACCTAGCAGCAGGCAGTGCAGCAGCAGCATCAGCAGCAGTACTAGTAGTAGTAGTAGTAGTAGTAGTTGTAGTTGTAGTTGTAGTTGTAGTTGTAGTAGTAGTAGTAGTAGTTGTTGTTGTTGTCGTCTTCGTGCTCGTCGCCATCGTAGTAGTCGTCGCAGTCGTCGTAGTCGTCGTCGTCGTCGTCGTCGTAGTAGTAGTAGTAGTAGTAGCAGTAGTAGTACTGGATAGTACTGGTGACTGGTATAGTGTAGCGGTCGTAGTAGCGGTAGAAGATAAAGAAGTAGTAGCAGCAGTAGCAGCAACAATACTTACCGTATCACAAGCAGTCGTTGAAGATAAGGGTTCAGACCTGGTGTGAAGCTGTGCAACCAAAACTCCGCTTCGACTGGTAAGACTTCCCCAGGCGTGGCGCGCACTTGGAAGTTTGGCAAGCGCAATTGACGCCGGCCGGTTGCGTTTCACCAACTGGGCAACATTCGCAGCTATCACGCGAAGTTTTACTCTGGATAAAAGCATCTTCAAGACCAGACTAAGCTAGTGCACGATTTACGCGCGTGGGCCCCGGGTCAGTCCCTGCAGGCCACTGTCCAATGAATAATGTAAGCCCACAACCGGTGGTCTGTTGGGGCCAGCTTGATGCCCCTACAGCTCTAGATTTTTGTAATGATTTGTCTCGTGCCGGTGTCTCACTCTGAACTGATTGCCCAGAGCTTGATGTGCCAATGGCCTGGATCAATCTTTGGCAATTCTTCTCGAATGCTCAGCTGGGCAGCACTGCAGAATTTGCAGCCAAGCGCCTCGCGATGAGCATCTTCCACGTGACTTCAGTTTCAACTATGAAGATCCTATATTATAGACCCAGCCTCTGCACTTCTCTTGCCCCATCCGAGCCCTGGCATGACAAGGTAGAGAGAGTGCTTTGTAGCTCACGTGGCACGTGGCCCTAGAAAAAACAGCATGAAGCCGGGGCTGCTACTTCAAGTCGCATCATTGAGGTGATTCTCGGCACCTCCTTTTAGTGATGCAGTACGCCAAACTAGGCTAGCCCGTCATGAGGTTCGCTGACCTGAACAAACCCTTCAGAATCCACTGGCAAGCCTTATAGTTTTGAGTCGCGAACACATGGCAGCTGGCATTGACCACAACCTCCTTGCAGAGGTCCCCGCTAAGTTTGCACAAATGTGTCGCGGGCTCTGTAAACGACTGTGTCCTTATGATTCACATGACATGGTAGTTTATATACTAGAAGCATTGCTGTTTCTTGTCGATGGTTTTCGGTTGGCTGCTGAAGGGCGCCATTTCAGACTACTGCGATCATGCGGCAGAATGCCAGCACACGATGGACATGCACAGCTGGAAGGCTAGGCTTCAGCGCATGTGATGGCACACAACACTGTTCCACGCCCAGTAATTTGAAAACAATGCGTCTCGGATCACTTGTTGTGCTCGTTAGTGATCTAATTGGTTCTCCGGCTGTTTTTGGATTGCGGCCTGTCGCGGGGATTGGCTGCAAACCTTGCTCGCAGCTTCTGTCGTATGCTCAATTTCGCGTCATGACGACCCCACGTAGAACAACTTTATGGAAGCAGCACGGATGTCTGGAATCAGGAAGAGCAGCAGAGCAGTGAAGCTTCACACCATGCAACAGACTCCAACAGCAGGCTCGGCGTTGCAAGTGGACAGGCTTGTGAGGCATGCCGGATCAGACGTCGAACATCGATGTGGCTGTCAAGGCTGCGATCCGCTGTTCGGACAGTCATTTTCGCGTTGTCGCTTCCAGGCAGAGACCACGACCTGGTCAAGCCAGATAGCGCTTGCTGTTGCAGAGACTGTACAGCGCCTGAGCTGAGAGCAGACACACTGCTTGCAGCTACTTTGTTGTGACGCAACAAAAGGGCACTTGTAAGGCATGATCGATTTGACTGCATCTGCGCATTTTGACTTGCGCCGCTGTTTGGTTTCGTCTGGCGGGATGCAAGGAATGGCACTCAGCGCGACAGCTGGTGGCGAAGTGAGGTGCGGCCGACAGCCGGACAAAGGGTTAGCAGTGGGCCTGCAAGGCCACGGCAGGAGCATCAGTTTCTTGTAGTGACTTGCAGGATTTCCCGTGAAGGGTAGCCTGTGGGCCTGTGGGGTTTTCCGGACGAGCATCAGCTTCCGTCTGTCGAGACTGTCCCACACAGATCCAATGTAAACTTCCCACCCGTTTACTTGGAGGCTAAAATTTGATCGCCACCGTACTTTGGGCACCATCGCTCGCTCGCGAGGCGTGTTTTCTCGTAGCCTCCCACGTGCTCCTGTTTGCTTCAGCCAATTGGCCAGAGACCAAGCGAATTTAGCTAAAGCCCACCCTCATCTCGTGACATTGAATCGTGCTCAGGTTCTTTGCAAAGCTTCTGTACCGAGACTACGAGGTCGTGTCCCTAGCAGGAGCAAGTGCAAAACAAGCCTCGTGCTGTCAAGATTGCCTCGGAACAATGATCGTCGGTGTGCAGCATATGCAGGTCAAGCAGCGATACATCCAGCTTCTTTTTGCCGTGGGACTGCCATTTGTAGCATATGTGCTGGACAGCAAGTTTGCATGTGAACTGGTTGGAGCGGAGCCAGGCAACCTTTGCGGCATCTTCCTCTATGCCGGTGTCTTGTGGGCTTAGAGGAAATTCTGATGGATCGCCTTCGCCTTCGAGGTTTGAGCTGATGTTGGCCACGGTGGCTGGATTTCTGGATCCGGATGTCCGCGCTGTGGCTTGGAAGGCCAGCGGCACACCTGGGGTGCCGGTAAGATGAGATTGTCAGCCACTACAATCGAGATACCTGGCCGATCAGAGTAGCCATAACCACCTTCTCCCCGAGCCTAGACATCCCCAAACCCTGCCGTGCCTCCATGATGCCCGTCTGCGCATTTCTGCCATTTCCCAACTCGAGGGGACCCTATTTTTTTGGCTTTTTTTTTTTCTTGGCTTTTTTTTTTTTTT